TTAACGGCTTTTGAAATCCACAAATTAATGGAAATTTAAAATGCATTATTAATTTATTTATATTGAAATGTTGATTAAAGTGACTGTAAAAAGTTTTTTCTATTCAAAATCAAACGCGATATTAGTCATGATTCCATGTAATTATGTTTTACTATTAATACACATGCTTTATTATTCAAGATTGTCGTTTATTTTGTTTGTTTTCATTTAATGTCGTAAAGATATATATATAGAATAAGTGTATATATAGAAATTTTCAAAGTGAAAGAGACCATTTGTTTTGACATTTTATATATATATTTGACTATATTTATTTATTTTATTAATATATTAACTTAGTCTTTATTTCACACACACACACACACACATTTACTGAACAATATATAATGTATTTAAAGTCAGCGGCACATAATACTTCTTATTTTACTAGATTGGTAGCTGGTTTAAAATCTCGCCACCGTGCAGATTGCGATGCTGACAGCACTATTATTGCAGCTAATACAGTGGCAACGTTATCGATCCGATGAGAGTTAAGTTAAAACTCACTTAAAAACGCTATTAGTGTTCCATCAGCTTATATTGTACACATATTAAAGCACGTACTTCATTACCGATTACCAGAATTTTATATCGGTTGTGTATTTTTAGGCAATTAATTTTTCAGTATCTTCTTGTATGCTTCAGTAATTCGATTAATTTTTACAAAAGAAAATTTGACAGAAGCGGATTAATAAAAAGATTGTAATAATTATTTTAAAAAAATTAAATGTCTATCGATGTTTATGTACTGATATAAATATAATGCAGTATTTTATTAGTTGGTTTTTTGATGTTGAGTTGACGATCATTTCTTACTGGGAAATTTTAGATAATTATTTATTTATAATGAATAAAATAACTTTGGCATTCCTTAAAATTATTTTACGAAAAGATGTGTAATAATTGTATAAAGTACCTTATCTTTAAAATACGTAAAAATTAAGTACGTCGTTATTTGTACACACGAGAAAAGTATTTGTACAGTCGAGAAAAGCTTTGTAAATCAGGAATACACACGAATTTTATTTACTTCCCTATATTAGGACAGAATGCATTTCTTGTATAAAACAGCAAATTATTATTTATTTTTTACAAAAAAATAATGACTTTTTGAATAAAAATTTTGTTATAAGGGTACTTTCTGAATTCTGTAAGTAAATTTTGTGCAAAGTATATTAGGTATTAACAATTTTCTTGTATTTTAGGAAAAATTAAATATGACGAAAAAAGGTCTCAGAAAGATTTTCGACCACGCATTTTAAATCGTAAAGGTAAAAATTTGAATATGCGTTTGAATATTTTGTCTACGTTTAGTTATCAATTACTTTTATTTATCAGTTGTAACAGAAAAAATATCTTTTTTATGAATTTTTTAAGTTATTTTTTATCTTTTTCAATAGCCATAACGCGTATCGAAAACAAGTGATTTTTTAAAGTAACTTTCTTAACTTTAGTACATATAATATTAGCGTTTAGTTATTAATGTTCTGATATAGGTATAATCGTAATCTTATCATTATTATAGTCATAAAAATTTCAACGATATTTTCGTATTGTTAAAATAAAAATTAACGGTGAAAATAATGCATAGAAACTCTTTTATTCTCTTAAAAAAAGTGCGTAACAATACTTCATAACAATATTTTATATATTTTTTGTTTTTCGCTAATCTTCTGCATGAGTGCTTCTATTCTATAAATAAAAATAAAGTAGGCAATCGGGCAATAGATTATGTAGATCGAACTGTAAGCAAATGGGATGTAGGCAAGAATACATGTAGGCAATCGAGTTGTAGATAATAATACTTGTAGGCAATCGATCTGTAGGCAAATGAGATGTAGGCAAAGGGTGCTATAGGCAATCGATTTGTAGGCAAACGGGGTCCTCTCTGTGTTTTTAACTAAAGTTACCAAATTATAAGTTTATAATTTTATTATAAGATAAATTATGAATTTAGCTACTTTATCAATTTTTATTAAAGGAAACATAATAAGATTTTATATCTTTATAAATCCAAAAAGATTAATTATTAGGACGTTTTTCGAATATTACATCGAAGAAACGAAATAAGTTACCACAACCTAAAATCGCCTACCTTCACGTTTCTTGGTTATAAGTTTTATAACCAAGTATCTATGATTGTAATAATCAAAAGATATCTTAGCAGTTGTTGGCCGTTAAGAACAGGGTTGGTAAAAAACATGTTTTAAATATGTTATAAATACTTTAAAACATGCTTAATCGATGTTTCTAATGTTTTAAATATGTTTTTTTTATAATATGGTTTAAAACGTATTTGAAGCATTAAAAACATGTTTAAAAAAAACATAATGTTTTATTCTTTAAAAAAAGAAACGTTAGTCTTTGTCGACCCTGGTTAAGAACAACCACCTTTATTACAACTAAATGTATTGATTAGCGAAAATACTTATTATCTTTGGTTGTTGCAACGGTAACATTATTTTTGGTGTAGAAAATATAAATCCTTATTAATTTTTCAGAAATTAAACGAAAAAGCTGATAAAGTATTTTAATCCGATATGAGATCTTCGTCACAGTAATGTGTTAGATAAAATTATATAAATTTGAATTTATATATGAGATTATATGTATAAGGATATAATTTAATATTAAAATGACATTTAGATGCAATACACCTATTTAACGTCAATCAACTTTTTCGCTACATTGAAGTAACCTTCATATTCCGTCGTATTCGGAGTAGTATCGCTAATAAATTGTCCGCCTGCTCCATAATTAGAAAAACAATGGAACTCACTTCTATTGTACAGATTCTGAAATATAAGGAACTAAAAATGATCAACTCTTTGCCATATTTAAATTTTGAAATTTAGAAACAACTGCAGCGTTTAGTGATTCAATCATTGAGAAAGAGATTCTACTATTGTAATTTAATATGATAATCACAAATTTAAATCTGATAGAAGCGATTTGACAAAAATGATTGAAGAAATTAATAAATAAAAAGTTAAATTTTTTAAATTTTTATTTGGCAAAGAAATATAATGTAATAACTTTAAGATGCATGAATTTTTGTATCTGTATAATCGATACAAATAACTTACAATTCCGTAACGCTGTTCCTGATCAGCTAATGGTAGTGGAATATTGTTAAATATCACACCAACTGCTATCAAATCTGATTCTAGAGTTATCTCGATACATTGCTGTTGTAAAAAAAAATTGTTAAATGATAATATCCGCCCCGGATATTCGTCACACATAACATTACATGCCACTTGTCCGTATCTCATTCTTAGAACACCACCTAAAGCTTTGAAACCATAAAATATTAACTAATTGTTTTTATATCTATTTCTTCAACAAAATATCCTAAACTATTAATTACCAAAAAATTCAGTCGTATTTCTTCCAGTATATTCAGAAAGGATCTTTTGCATTAAAGTTATGATGTCCATGTTAGTCATTCTACGACCCCTGGCACGCATTCTGATAACATTCCCCGTTCTGCCCTCGCTGAGAAAAAAACTGCCGTGGTTGGCGTATGTCATTTGATTAGGATGAATTAACGTTTCTATCCTTCTCTGTCCGTTGTCTGTTCTTGTGAAAATAATGCGACTCGCATTCGTAAAATTCTCAGGTGCTCTGTACTTTGCATTCATAATGAGCTGTAACAGTATTCGCGTTTATGAGAAACAGACACAACGTGATAGAGGATGAGTATATAACGAAAGCTCAAATAAAACTCAAGAGAATAAATTGATTACTGCTAAATCAATTGAATGAAATTACAAAACAACGATAAGATAACGATAAGTTGTTCGTATAATTCCAAATTTATCATAGTTTACCATCTAGCGCTACCTTGCCAGTTATGTAGCAATAATTCATTATTTTAAAATATTGTCATAATAGTATTATCATCTTTGAGCGCATAAAAATGTGAAAATATTGATAATACATACGTGTCCAAAATAAGGCATTTGTGGTTTTGTAGCGTACGAACTTCCAATGATAAAGGAATCTTGGCAGCTGGCACTTAGCACAGATTTAATATCACGTGTTCTTTCATTCCACGGTATGTTTTCTGTGGAACCAGGAAATTCTACTATTGCTGTGTTGCCACATAATCCTGTATGAATTATTTACTTTTTAAAGATATACTCTATTTAATGAAAAATTAGACGCTTTTGGGATGATTTCTTACCTACTCCAACAAGATTATATGGTTCTCTAGTTAAACAAGGGCAGCTAGCTACGTCAACTTTCAAGAAGTCAAACAAGGGTTCCATTCCATTTTGCAAAACTATTACCGTACAATACGTGCATTAATTATGATGTGTCTGATAAATTAAATAATAAACATTATATAGTATATACCTGCTGCGATTTCTGAAAGTGTAGGTGGCTCTAGTTCGTACATTTCATATGGAAGTTCGTCAGTCGTAAAAGAATCGCCATTTAACATTTCCGCCATAATGCTGAATTAGAACTCGGACACAAGGCTTTTCAATTTTTAGGCTATGCGTAATTATTTACAAATTGTTATATTGTAAGACTAAATTTAATGTTATATTTAAAAAAAAGGTTGGTACTAATAAGTTATTTAAAATATAATAGAGATACAATGATAATTGCTATGCATTATACAATATGTACGTCACAATCAGATATTTGATGCATTTCTAAACTTGATAAGAAAAGAACAACCACCTTTATTACAACTAAATGTATTGATTAGCGAAAATACTTATTATCTTTGGTTGTTGCAACGGTAACATTATTTTTGGTGTAGAAAATATAAATCCTTATTAATTTTTCAGAAATTAAACGAAAAAGCTGATAAAGTATTTTAATCCGATATGAGATCTTCGTCACAGTAATGTGTTAGATAAAATTATATAAATTTGAATTTATATATGAGATTATATGTATAAGGATATAATTTAATATTAAAATGACATTTAGATGCAATACACCTATTTAACGTCAATCAACTTTTTCGCTACATTGAAGTAACCTTCATATTCCGTCGTATTCGGAGTAGTATCGCTAATAAATTGTCCGCCTGCTCCATAATTAGAAAAACAATGGAACTCACTTCTATTGTACAGATTCTGAAATATAAGGAACTAAAAATGATCAACTCTTTGCCATATTTAAATTTTGAAATTTAGAAACAACTGCAGCGTTTAGTGATTCAATCATTGAGAAAGAGATTCTACTATTGTAATTTAATATGATAATCACAAATTTAAATCTGATAGAAGCGATTTGACAAAAATGATTGAAGAAATTAATAAATAAAAAGTTAAATTTTTTAAATTTTTATTTGGCAAAGAAATATAATGTAATAACTTTAAGATGCATGAATTTTTGTATCTGTATAATCGATACAAATAACTTACAATTCCGTAACGCTGTTCCTGATCAGCTAATGGTAGTGGAATATTGTTAAATATCACACCAACTGCTATCAAATCTGATTCTAGAGTTATCTCGATACATTGCTGTTGTAAAAAAAAATTGTTAAATGATAATATCCGCCCCGGATATTCGTCACACATAACATTACATGCCACTTGTCCGTATCTCATTCTTAGAACACCACCTAAAGCTTTGAAACCATAAAATATTAACTAATTGTTTTTATATCTATTTCTTCAACAAAATATCCTAAACTATTAATTACCAAAAAATTCAGTCGTATTTCTTCCAGTATATTCAGAAAGGATCTTTTGCATTAAAGTTATGATGTCCATGTTAGTCATTCTACGACCCCTGGCACGCATTCTGATAACATTCCCCGTTCTGCCCTCGCTGAGAAAAAAACTGCCGTGGTTGGCGTATGTCATTTGATTAGGATGAATTAACGTTTCTATCCTTCTCTGTCCGTTGTCTGTTCTTGTGAAAATAATGCGACTCGCATTCGTAAAATTCTCAGGTGCTCTGTACTTTGCATTCATAATGAGCTGTAACAGTATTCGCGTTTATGAGAAACAGACACAACGTGATAGAGGATGAGTATATAACGAAAGCTCAAATAAAACTCAAGAGAATAAATTGATTACTGCTAAATCAATTGAATGAAATTACAAAACAACGATAAGATAACGATAAGTTGTTCGTATAATTCCAAATTTATCATAGTTTACCATCTAGCGCTACCTTGCCAGTTATGTAGCAATAATTCATTATTTTAAAATATTGTCATAATAGTATTATCATCTTTGAGCGCATAAAAATGTGAAAATATTGATAATACATACGTGTCCAAAATAAGGCATTTGTGGTTTTGTAGCGTACGAACTTCCAATGATAAAGGAATCTTGGCAGCTGGCACTTAGCACAGATTTAATATCACGTGTTCTTTCATTCCACGGTATGTTTTCTGTGGAACCAGGAAATTCTACTATTGCTGTGTTGCCACATAATCCTGTATGAATTATTTACTTTTTAAAGATATACTCTATTTAATGAAAAATTAGACGCTTTTGGGATGATTTCTTACCTACTCCAACAAGATTATATGGTTCTCTAGTTAAACAAGGGCAGCTAGCTACGTCAACTTTCAAGAAGTCAAACAAGGGTTCCATTCCATTTTGCAAAACTATTACCGTACAATACGTGCATTAATTATGATGTGTCTGATAAATTAAATAATAAACATTATATAGTATATACCTGCTGCGATTTCTGAAAGTGTAGGTGGCTCTAGTTCGTACATTTCATATGGAAGTTCGTCAGTCGTAAAAGAATCGCCATTTAACATTTCCGCCATAATGCTGAATTAGAACTCGGACACAAGGCTTTTCAATTTTTAGGCTATGCGTAATTATTTACAAATTGTTATATTGTAAGACTAAATTTAATGTTATATTTAAAAAAAAGGTTGGTACTAATAAGTTATTTAAAATATAATAGAGATACAATGATAATTGCTATGCATTATACAATATGTACGTCACAATCAGATATTTGATGCATTTCTAAACTTGATAAGAAAATTCAACTGTATTATCTACTAACATTTTAAATGCTCTAACGTTTATATTATCTCAATCATAAATTATTCTAATAATTTCTGTTTAAAATGAGATTACATAATGTCATTTTGAGTAAGACAATTGGTAAAGTACAGAAATTTATTTAAAAATTATAAATTATTCTCCAAACGTTTTAGCGACAGTATCATGCGTTTACTTGCAAAAATCTGTTGTAACTTATTTATTATCTTCCAAAATATATTATGTGAGTTATATATTGATTATTTTTAGACATATCCCTTATAAATGCTTTTATAAGGAGTTGAAATTATATTTAATGTACATGTATAATATATATATTCATTTTTTTATACATTCAATAACAAATTAATGAAGATTCTGTTCGCCACAATGTTTTGTACATCCTTAAATTATATTTATTATTTAATTAAATCGTTAAACGTTATGATTATTTATACATTTTGTCAGTTTGATTCTTGGTCGTTTAAATTAGAATAATACAGATATTTTGTCATGTGTACATTTATATTAAATATAGGAGTTGTGTGTTGACTACTTACATTGCAAAATTTATATCATTGTATGATATCGGATTATTTAATTTTTTAGTTAAATCACCATCATTGGCACGTCCTTTCTGTCATATCTATACAAATAGCGATACAACGCACTTTGACACTGCTTCTTCGCAAATGTGACCAGAGAAAATACGTTTAGAAATTTTAGAATCCTAGCGGTCGTAAGAGCCAGCTATAACAAATAAACATAATCTTGTAAAGCCGTTAACTGTTTTTGAAATTTACAGATTAATGGAAATTTAGAATTCATTATTTATTTATATTGAAAAATTGATTAATGTCGACAAATTTGTAAATAGTTTTTTAAATCAATGTGAAATGTGATATTATTGAATTGATCCAATGTAATTATGTGTTTCACGATTAATCCATGTTTTATTATTCAAAATTGCCGTTTATATTTTGTTTATTTTCAAAATTTAATGTAAAGATGGAGCTGATTGATGCATTTATTTATATGTAGATTTTTAAACTGGAAGAGAACATTTTATTTGACTATATTAATTTAGTTTTTATTTCACATTCTCACTGGACAATGTATAATGTATTTAAAGTCAGCGGCACACAGTGGGCGCATTCAGCGAACTCGATAGATGAGTAAACGCTCGCAGCTATTGGTGATATTTATAAAAATATTTAAAATTCTAATAGCATGATCATAACAGCGAGCGCTTACTCAACTGTTGAGTGCGTTGAACGCGCCCAACATTTCTTATTTTGCTGGATTGGTAGCTAGAATTAAAATCTTGCGACCACGTTGTTGGCGGTGATGATAGCGCTATTATTGCAATTAATATAGTGGCGGTGTTATCAATCCGATGAGAGTTAAGTTAAAACTTACTATACTGGAAAACGCTATTATTGCATCGCCAGCTTATGTTGAATATGTTCTACATGAATATACATACTAAAAAACACGTACATTCCTTACTGCATAGTCCGAAAGTAAGAATTATCTCAAAAATTTAATCTAACACTATCGTTGATTCAAATTGATATTCATTCCTAATAAATACAATCATTATTAAACTTTATAGAAATTGTTCAAAAAATATAATTTTATAGAATAATAATTCCTCTGTATTTTAGTTATAAATAACCATTACCGAAAACCAAAATTTATTTTGGTTATGCATTTTGCAATTAGGCAGTTCTATATATATTGTCCGTACTAAAGTTGTTAAACTTTAGTTGTTATACATTAGCGTTCAGTTATTAATCTTATCATACGTATAGGTTTAATACGTATAGTTTTAATTAAGTTATCAATTATATAGCCATAAAAAATGCAACGATACTATCATATCGTTAATAATATAAAAATAATGATCAGAGTAACGCATAGGAACACATTCATTTTCCTAAAAGTGCATAAAAATGTTTTATAACAATATTTTGTATTTTTTAAATAATTTTCTTTACCTTGTGCATGAGTATTTTCAATTTATAATATTTTTTAGGTAAGATTTAGCTAATACTAAATAAATTCTGATGATTAAAATTTTTACAACTAATATCTTCTATACAAATGTCAAACAGAAAACTATGATTCATTAGTAATAAAAAATTTGGTCTACTTTGAATTTAGTCTTGAGAAAGGACATATATAAAAAATTTACTGTCATTTCGAACAGATACAAAAATATGGAAATAAAAAAAGATTAAAAAGCACGTTAATTCTACAGAGTTGAATATATCAACATGAGATCTTTTTAATAAAAATGAATTTTACATTCTTAAAATAACAAAATTAATTGGTAAAATGTCGTATGGAATTTTTCTAAATCTTTATATTTGTTTCTTTTTATTTCAGTATTTTTTATGTCATTATGTTATCTATTTCAGAATACTAGTTAGTTATACAAGAATTTTTATCATGTCTTATAGAAAAATATTACAATTCGAATTGTGTTTTCGACTAAAGAGTTACCAAATTATAAATTTATATTACATAAATTATAAATTTGGCTACTCTATCATTTTTTACCCCCGCGAAAAAAATATATGTATAGATTTAATATAATTAAACATAAATTTTATTAAAATTTAATATAATACTTAATAACGATTCCAATAAATGTTGTTTTATTAGAACAATTTTTATATAGAGATTTAATTTAGACCATATAATGATCCATATTAAGTTATTAATTCAACTTATTAAAACTTGTTAAGACCATATTAAAACATATTAATTCGTCTTATTTAAAACTTATTAAGATTTAATTAAATTATATAAATTAGACTTTAATAAAATTTAATAAGGACTTATTAAACTTAAATAAGTTGATAATATAAACTATATTAAAAATATATACAATATGCATTTATTTGTAAGGTTATACAAAAGACTTTATAAATTCTTTATATGAATTTTGATGAAATCTTTATAAAGAACTTATAAGACTTTTATTTAGAATATATTAACTTTTTTTTAGATTTTATATCTTTATATCCAAAAGGATTAATTGTGTTAGAACGTTTCTTGAATATTAAACGGAAGGAGCGGCTACGATTGCTACGACTAAAAATCGCCTATCTTACATTTTCATTAATAAGTCATTTAATATGATTGTGTTAATTGTATGATAAGCTTAACGAATTGTTGGCAATTAAGATTATCCATCATTATCACAACTAAATGTAGTGATTATCGAAAATAATCATTATTTGAAGATTGTTGAAACAGTAATGTTTTTTTCTAAGAAATCTAAATCTTTACTAATTTTTAAGAAAGTTAAGAAGATATAATAAACTATTGTAATTCGATACGACATTTTCGTCACACATGTTCTAGATAACATTATATAAATTAGAGTTTACATAAGAGTTTATATAAGGATACTGTTTAATATTTACATGGTATTTAAATTCTACACATCTATTTAAGTACAATGTACTTCTTTACTACGTTGAAGTAACCTTCGTATTCCGTCGTATCCGGAGAAATATCGCTAATAAATTGTCCGCCTGTTCCATGATCAGAAAAACAATGGAACTCACTTCTATTGTATATGCTCTGAAATATAAAAAACTAAAAAACATCAATACTTTGTCATGTTTAAATTTTTAGATTTAAATATAACTGTTTTGTTAGTGATTAGATGGATGAAAAACATTTCACCATTGTTATATAATTCAATAATGAAAAATTCAAATTTGACAGAAGCGATTTGATAAAAATAATTCCATTAGTTATTAAACAAAAAATTAAATTTTTAATGATATTTATCTGTGGTAAAAATATAATGCACTTTCTTTAGTATTAATGATTTTTGCTACCTGCATAATCAGTACAAATAACTTACAATTCCGTAATGCTCCTCGTCAGAGATTAGTATTGGCAGATCGTCAAATATTACACCAACGGCTATCATATCTGATTCTAGGTTTATCTTGGAATATTGCTGTTGAAAATAAAAATTTACAAATTGTAACTTCTCATCCGGATATTCGTCCAACATAACATTACACGCTACTTGTCCGTATCTCATTCTTAGAACACCACCTAAAGCTTCAAGACAATAAAGAATTATCAAACCATTTTTGTATCCATTTCTTTAACTAAATACCACAAACTACTAATTACCAACAGTTTCAGTCGAATCTTTTCCAAAACTTTCATAAAGAACGGTTTGCATTGAAGTTATGATGTCTGTGTTAATCATCTTGCGACCTTTAGCACGCACTCTCACAACATTGCCTGGCCTACCCTCGCTAACAAAAAAACAGCCGTTGTGGGTGCATGTTAATTGATTAGGATCAGTTACCGTTTCTATCCTTCTTTGTCCGTTACCTGTCTCTATGAAAACAATGCGACTCGCATTCGTAAAACTCTCAGGTGCTCTGTACGTTGCATTCATAATGAGCTGTAACATTATTCACGTTTATGATAAATAGAGACGATATGATAGAAGATGAGTATATGATGAAAGCATAATTAAAACTCAATGGAATAAATTTAATAGTACTAAATCAATTGATTAGAATTACAAAACGCACAACGGTAAGTTAACGGTAAAATGTTGATATAATTCACAGACAATCGCAGTTTGCTATGTACTACTTTGCGAGTTATGTATCCGTGATACATTATCGTTATATATAACATATTGTTATAGCATTTTATTATAAGTCTTTTGCGGATATGTTTTTAAAATATTGATAATACATACATGTCCGTAATAAGGCATGTGTGGTTTTGTAGCGTAACTACTTCCAATGACAAAGGAATCACTGCAATTGGTTTTCAACACAGACTTAATATCACATGTTCTATCTTTCCAATCCGATACGTTTTCTGTGGGTTTCTCACCGAGTTCTATTATCGCCGTGTTACCACATAATCCTGTTGGAGTTATTCATCTATTAAATATACTTTATTTAAATAAAAATTATGTGCTTTGCTTAGTTTCTTACCTACACCGGCAAGATTGTATGGTTCTTTTGTTAGACAAGGGCAGCTAGTTACGTCCACTTTCAATCGGTGGAACAAAGGTTGCATTCCATTTTGTAGAACTGTATATCATAAAAATATAATGTGTTTGTTGGAGTAATAATTTGTGTTGTATACATACCTTCTGCAATTTCTGAGAGCGTTGGTGTCTTCATTGAACGTTCTTTATAACAGCGTTCTTTACGGGGGATAGTGTACGAATTGCCATTTAACATCCTTGCCATAATGTTAAATTAGAACTGGAACACACTAGGCTATTAAATTCTCATTGAACGCAATGTGTTATAATTTACAAATTTTCATCATACTAAAATAAATTTAATCCTAAGTATGATAAAAGCTTGATATTAGTTAATTTTGATTTGAGAAAGTTTGATATTAGTTAATTTTTTGAAATAATGTTGAGATAGAGGGATAATTGCTAAGCTATTGTGCCAATGTAATGTGTACGACGCCGCTCAAAGTGATAGAATATCTCTAAATTTGGAAATAAATTCTAACTTATTTATTAACATTGTAAGTAGTAGAATATGTATTATCTTAATTGAATATTATTCTAATATTGTACGTTGAAAAATATAAATAATTTTTTTTTCTTATTTATGATAATCATTAAATAGTGCGAAATGTTATTGCTACTATAATACTTGTAAATGACATTTCTGAACAAATTTTAATCGATTTATGATTTTCGTAAATTTCTGTACAATAATGAACCTCAAAAATACTTTGTATATTGCATTGTGCATGTAATAATATCGGGAGAATTAATCATTTAAATTTTACATTTGAAAGTAGTGATTTGGTATAAAAAACTACGAAAACGCAAGTCGTGCCTAGATTTAAGTATATAAGTTTAAATATTTTTAAGTAAATATTACAGCAGTTAAACAAAAAGTCTGTTCGGAAGTTTGCAAAACGAAAAATATTCTAATTTATACAAACAAGAAGCAAATAGAATGTGTAAATAATCAAAATATTAAATAATTCAAGAAAATAATGAATATGATGAAATAATGCGCAAAAGATTTCGGATCACAGAATCTCTCTCTTTACCAGTTCATTCTTAAACATATAAAGGAAATAAATTAAAATAATTTCTAAGTATTAAATTTAATGATAAAAATGATAATGTTTGGCTAATAAGTTATAATATTGTTTAACTAAACTATTAGTTGTTAAAAGAGCTGTGTCCATTGTAATATTCAATAAATCTTCCTTTTTAAATTCAGTATGTTTCGATCACTTTACCATGATCTTCTAGTGTTATATATACTTATACGATTTGAATAAATAGCAGGTACAATTATTAGATTTTTATTATATCACTTCGTGCAACGTTGTCAGGTAATTCCTCCGTTAAAGTTATAGACATGTAATCTTTTTAGTATAAATTACTCGAAGTAGTTTTTAATCAACCATTACTCTAATATGGTCACGTAAAGTCCAGGATTTTGAAGAGGAATTACTTGACATTGTTATATAAAATGGAAAACTAATTATTGTTAATGCTATTTATTCAAATTATAAAGTTATATGTACATCCCTGGAAATGATCATCATACGATAATTGAAACGTTTCGAAAATTTGAAGAGGAAGTTTTGTTATTAAATGTCAGCATATTCATTTCAGTTGGCTCTTTTAGCCCTTAATTATCTAGTTGCATCGTTTTTTTTTTAAAGGTTCATTTGAAATTATAATTTATTGTAATATTCTCTTTGCCTTATTTTTTAAATCACGAATTGATAAACACTCTGTAAGCTCAAATGTTTAATGCATGTTGTATTGTAGTGATTATTTTATTAAATCGTTAAATGTTGTGCTTATTTAAACATCTTACTCATTCGTCTCTCGGTCGCTTAAATAAGAATAATACAGATATTGTGTCATATGTACGCTTACATCATGTATGTGATTTGACTACTTACGTTGCAGTATAAAAGTATTATACTTTGTCTGATATCCGATTGTCTAATTTTTTTAGTTAAATCACCGTCTTTGGTACGTCTTTTCTGTCATATTTATACAAATAACGATATAATGAACTTTGGCGCTGCTTCTTCGCAAACCAGAGAACAATAAGTTTAGAATCCTAGCGGCAGTAAGAGGCAGCAGAAATAGATAAACATAATTTTGTGATATCGTTAACGGCTTTTGAAATACACAATTAATGGAAATTTAAAATTTATTATTTATTTATATTGTAAAGTCGATAAATTTGTAAATTGTGATTTTCCCATTCAACGTGAAATTTAATATTATTAACATCTTAAACTTGGCTCTCATCGCATTGTTCTAATTGTAAGTAGGTACGGACAATTTTATAATTCGTACATCGATATAATTTTATAAGATACGGTTATTACAAGCTTTCACAAACTACATTTAAAACTAAACGGATTACATTAATTTTAGATTTTTACTAGTTTGCCGAAATGTATACGACTTCTAACTATGGGAGTGAAATTGCACACACATTTATATACTTATATATTTTTTATATTTTTTAATATTTTTTTATGTAATTTTATAATTCTATAATTTTCGATCATTTATTAACTGCTTGCGATTTTTGTAGCATTGATAATGACCTGATAGAGGCCGAATTGTCTGTTATCTGTTTTTCTAATTAAGCTACGTAATTTTAACCAAATGACCATTTTTATTTACAATCATTTGTATATTTTAACGCATTTTTTGGCATATAGCTATGTTTTTTTTCATTATTCTTTAATATTATTAAATTGATTTCATGTAGTTATATGTTTCACTATTAACTTATGCTTTATTATTCAATATTGTCATTTATATTTTGTTTATACTCAACATTTAATATAGCAAAGATGGAGCTAATTGATACATTTAGGTATATATAGATTTTCAAACTGGAAGAGGACATTTTATTTGACTATATTAATTTAGTTCTTATTTCACATTCACTGGATAATGCATAATATATTTAATGTCAGTGGCACACAGTGGGCGCATTCAGCGGAAGAGATAGTTGAGTAAGCGCTCGTAGTTGTTGGTGATACTTATAGATCTAAAACTCTGATTGCTTAATATAAAAAAATACACTAATAACAACGAGTGATAACTCAATTGTTGAGCCCGCTGAACGCGTCCAACGTTTCTTATCTTGCTCGATTGGTAGCTGATTTAAAATCTTGCCATCGTGTTGTTTGCGGTGCTGACAGCGCTATCATTTCTGTTAATACGGTGACAACTTTATTAATCTGATGAGGGTTAAGTTAAAACTCACTACACTTGAAAACGCTATTAATGTGTCATCAGTTTACGTTGAATATGTTCTATATGAGTACACATACTAAAACACGTATATACTCCTTATTGCATAGTCTGAAAGTAAGAATTATCTCAAATATTTAATATAAAACTATCCTTTATTCAAATTAATATTTATTCTTAATAAAATTAAGGAAATTTTGGATGTTTATTTATAGTACTTATAAAAAAAAAAGTAATCTTGGTATATATTTCTTAAAATTATTTTACTCCAAAGGTGTGTAATAACTGAATAAAGTTCTTTATCTGTAAAATGTATGAAAATTAAGTACGTCATTATATATGGATGTCTGAGAAAGATGTTCATACAGTCGAGAAATTTAGTTCCGTAAATCAGGGATATTCACGAATTTCATTTACTTACGTATATTAGAACAGAATGTATTTCCTGTAAAAAACATTAAATGATTATTCATCTTCTGTAAAAAAAAAAATAATGCCTGTTTGAATAAAAACTTTGTTATAAGAGTATGTTTTACATTCTGTGTATATGATTATAGTCTTTTGCAAAAGTATTAGACACTAACAATTTTGTCGGATTTTACAACAATGTAATGTCCTGGCGACAAAAGATTTCAGGGAGGTTTTTAAGCCTAACGATAGAGCCTTTGTATCTGCATTTGAATATTTTATCTACGTTTACATTTGTCTATGTTAATTTTCTACTTATAGTTTCTTTGTTAGTTGTAATAAAAAAAAAAAATTTTTTATTGAATCTTTTTAGTTATTTTTTATGTTCTTCAATAACTACGACGTGTAACGGAATAAACTACTTTTTAAAATAATTTTAATAACTTTTGTACGGCCAATATATATCTATATTAGTCTTTATTTATTAATGTTATCATACATATGGTCATAATGTTATCAATTACACAGTCATGAAAACGTTAATAATCATACCGTCAAAAATTAACGGTGATAGTAACACTGAAAGGAACCGTTTTATTATTTTAAAAGTGCGTAAAAATATTTTACAACAATATTTTATATCTTTTTATGTTTTTCTCAATCTTCTACATGAGTATTTCCAATTTATAATATTTTTTTAGAAAAGATTTAGTTAAATTAAATAAATTATGAAAATATATAAATTTCTACAACTAGTATCTTCTATACAAATGTCAAACAGAAAAATCCAATTTAGTAGTAATAAAAAATTTGATCGATTTTGAATTTAGTTTTGAGAATAAAAGACAACTGTTAAATGATTAAAAATTTACTGTCATTTCAGAAAAATACAGTAATATCGAAATAAAAAAATCTGTAGAATTGAAAATATGAACATGAGACCTTTTTAATAAAAATGAACCTTTCATATCTAAGACTACGAAATTCATGTATAAAACGTCGTATGGAAAACTGTTCTAAGATCTTTATATTAGTTTCTCTTTATTTTTATTTTTCTATTATTATGTTATCTGTTTTAAAATTCCAATTAGTTTATAACAAGAATTTGTGTCACGAATTTTATAAAAAAAATATTACAATTCAAATTGTGTTTTTCACGAAATGGTTACTAAATTATAAATTTATATTACATAAATTATGAGTTTAGCTATTTTATAAATTTTTATTTCAAGAAAACAATAAGATTTTATATTTTTGTATCCTAAAGGATTAATCGTTAGGATGTTTCTTAAACAGTAGAAAATAGCTATAGTTGCCACTTAAAGTCATCTATTTTATATTTTTAGTATTAAGTCATACAATATGATTGTGTTAATCGTATTATTGGCTTAGAAGGTTTTTGGCCGTTAAGATTATCCATCATTATTACAACTAAATGAATTGATTAGTAAAAATAAACGTTATTGTTGCAAAAGTAACGTTTTTTTCTGCGTAAGATATCTAAAGATTTACTAATTTTTAAGAAAGTAAAAAGAAAAAATAAACTATTACGATTCCATACAACATTTTCGTCACAATGTGTGCTAGATAATATTATATAAATTGATTTATATATGTGAGTATACAAGGATACTTAGTTTAATATTAAAATGATATTTAGATGCAATATATCTATTTCATTTCAGGGATAATAAGCTTTTCTGCTACATTGAAGTAACCTTCATATTCTGTCGTATCCGGAGAAATATCGTTAATAAATTGTCCGCCTGCTCCAAAATCAGAGAAACAATGAAACTCATTTCTATTGTAAATACTCTGAAATATAAAGAAATAGAGAACATCAACACTTCGTCATTTTTAAATTTTGATATTTAGTAATAACTGTTGTGTTAGTGATTAAATGATTGAAAAACATTCTACCATTGTAATATAATTTAATAATGACGAATTAAAATATAAAAGCGATTTGACAAAAATAATTGCATTAAGTAACAAAGAAAGAAATAAATTTCCAACGATATTTATCTATGGTAAAAATATAATGCATTATCCTCAATATCAATAATTTTTGATATCTGTATAATCAGTACAAATAGCTTACAACACCGTAACGTGGCTGCTCAGTCATTCGTACTGGGAAACTGTTAAATATTACCCCAACGGCTATCATATCTGATTCTAGATTTATCTCGGAACATTGCTGTTGAAGAAAAAAATCATAAAATGGTAACATCTCCGGATATTCGTCATACATAACATTACACGCCACTTGTCCGTATGTCATCCTTAGAACACCCCCTAAAGCTTCAAGACAATAAAAAATTATCTAGTTATATTTATACTTATTTCTTTAATTGAATACCCCAAACTATTAATTACCAAAAAGATCATCCGTGTTTTTTCCATAATTATCATAAAGGACGTTTTGCATTGAAGTTATGATGTCTGTGTCAACCTTTTTGCGACCCCTAGCACGCACTCTCACAACATTGCCTGGTCTACCCTCGCTGATAAATAAACAGCCTTGGTTGGTGCATTTCAATTGATTAGGATCAGTTACTGTTTCTATCCTTCTTTGTTCGTTACCTTTTTCTGTGAAAACAATGCGACTTGCGTTTGTAAAATTCTCAGGTGCTTTGTACGTGGCATTCACAATGAGCTGTAACGTTATTCACGTTTATGATGAATAAAGAAAATATGTCAGAAGATGATTATATGATGAAAACATAATTAAAACTCAATAGAATAAATTGAAAAGTACTAAATCATTTGATTAGAATTACAAAACACACAACGATAAATTAACTGTAAAATGTTGATATGATTAATAGATAATCGCAGTTTGCTATGTACTACTTTGCAAGTTATTTATCCGTGATACATTATCTTAACATATTGTTGTAGTATTATAATATTACAAGTCTCTCTTGCGATTATGTTTTAAAAATATTGGTAATATACACAACATACATGTCCGTAATAAGGCATGTTCGGTTTTGTAGCGTAACTACTTCCAATGACAAAGGAATCACTGCAAATAGTTTTTAACACAGATTTAATATCACGTTTTTTATTTTGCCATTCGCGGTCGTTTTCAGGGGGATCCTGATCATAAATTATCGCTGTGTTGCCACACAATCCTGTTGGAATTATTCACCTATTAAATATACTCCATTTAAAGAAAAATTATGCGCTTTATTGCAGTTTCTTACCTACACCGGCAAGATTGTACGGTTCTTTTGTTAAACAAGGGCAACTAGTTACGTCCACTTTCAATCGGTGGAACAAAGGTTGCATTCCATTTTGTAGAACTGTTATCATATATAACGCATGTGTAAAATATAATGTGTTTGTTGGAGTAATAATTTGTGTTGTATACATACCTTCTGCAATTTCTGAGAGCGTGTGTGTCTTCATTGAATGAACTTTATAACAGCGGTTTTTATGGGATCTAGTGTACGAATTGCCATTTAACACCTCTGCCATAATGTTAAATTAGAACTGAAACACACTAGGCTATTAAATTCTCATTGAACGCAATGTGAAGTAATTTACAAATTTTCATTTTACTAAAGTAAATTTAATGCAAAATTAGAGAAAAAAATTGATAATAGTATACTTAAAATAAAGTAAAGTTAGAGGGATAATTGCTTAGATATTGTGTCTATACATAATGTGTACGCCACCTCTCATAATAGTGGAATATCTCTAAATTTGGAAATTAACGCTGTAAATGTACTAAGATTTATATATTTTAATTATAGGTTATTCCATTAATGTTTTTAAAGCAAAATAACACTTTTTTTTCTTATATATGATAATGATTAAATAGTGAAATGTAATTTCTGTTATTGTAGTTGACATTTCTAAATCAAAAATCGATTTATGATTTTCGTAAATTTCTATGTAATAATGTAACTCAAACATACTCTGTATGTCGCATTGTGCGTGTTCCAATATCGGAACAATACATCATTCAATTTTTACATCTGAAAATGATTTCAATGCTATAAAAGTAGCGTTATGAAGAAAACGCAAATCATGCAGTTATTTCGAATATTTTTAAGTAAATATTACATACAAATAAATAGAAAGTCAGTTATCCCTCGGAAGTTTGCAAAATAAGAAATATATTCTAATTTAAACTAACGAGAAGCAAATGAAATTTGTAAATAACCAAATTATTTAACAATCTAATAAAATAATAAATATGATAAAATACTACGCATAATATTTCGGATCACAGAATCTTTATCAATTCATTCTTAAACATATAAAAGTACTAACTTATAATAATCTCTAGATATTATAATAATATTCAACAAATCTTGCTTTTTAAATTCCGTAAACTTCGATCACTTTACTATGTTGTACTTCTAGTGTTATGCATACTTAAACGATTTAAGTAAATGGCAGTTACACAATTATTAGATTTTTATTATATCACTTTGTATAACGATGTCAGGTAATTCCTCCTTAAAGTTATAAATGTTATGTGCTCTTATTAGTATAAATCACTGAAAAAGTTCCTAATCAACCATTACGCTAATAAGAAGATCACGTAAAGTCAGGGCTTTTGACGAGGAATTATTTGACGTTGTTATATAAAATGATAAAATGAAATAGTAATTGTTAATGATATTTATTCAAAATGTAAAGTTATGTTCATCTCTATAGAAGATTATTGTACGATGATTAAAACATTTGGAAAATTTGAAAAAGATATTTTGTCATATATCACCACATTAGTTTCAATTGGTTCTTTTAGCCCTTAATTGTCTAGTTAAATTGTTTTTTATTTAGAGCCTTCTTAAAAATTGTAATTTATAACATTCTTTTCTTTCAATTTTTTAAATTATGAGTTGCTAAAATCCCTGTGAGCTTAAATTTTTAATGCATTGTTATATTGTAGTCACTATTTTATTAAATCGTTAAATGTTATACTTACTTAAGTTTGCTACTTTCTCGGTTATTTAAATTGGAATAATACAAGTATGTCGTATGTATGCTTTTGATATTGTATGTGCTTGCATGTCAAGAATATGTGTTGTGTACTTACTAATTACGTTGCAAAAGTATTGTATGATTGCAGACTGTTTAATTTCTTAATTAATTCATCGTTATAGATAAGTCTTTCCTGTCATACGTGTATATAATGGTATGGCGTACTTTTGCGCTTCGTCTTCGCAAATGTAACATAACAATTTAAGATACTTTAGTATTCTCACGGTCATGAGAGTCAGTAATAGATAAACATAATTTGGAGATATCGTTAACAACTTTTCAAAATTAAGTATATTCATCATTTTGCAACTCGATGAAACATTTTTTCTAAAAGTATTTGATATTTAATATCAATATAATGCTTGTCATCGCACAATTGCTTTTAACGATTAAATCAATGCTAAATCCTAACTGCAAGAGAATGTGAACTGCGATATTTAATTAAAACATCTCCCTGAAACTATCTTAATTTTGAGTATAATCATTTTATTTATATACTGTAAATACATTAGACCCGTTTTAAATTAGGTATTAAAGTGCGCCAACCATTGCTTGGTTATCTCTTACGTATAATACGTATATTCTGATAATATATATTAAAAAGTTCCGAGCATTTAATATACCATGTAGTTCATGTTTACTTCTTCTCGAAAGATCATTACAAAATGATATTACAGTCGTAAAGCAAACTCATTTTATGATAACGTCAACTCTTTGAGAGAGTATCATTATAATATTAAATCGAAAAATTCAAGGCAAAAGTTAGCGTTTAACTAATAGAGCTACATGCTAATAGAATTCGTACCCTATCTTTTCATCAATATGAAAATGTACACTTAAATAATTAACTGACCGAGTAGACGTCTTCGCGCGTGAATAGCGTTATAGACTTCTCTAAAAGTCTGTTTCATTAAATAACCGAAATTTTTACTATCAATGTGCGTTGATGAGTATTTGGATTAATATACGATCCTAAACCTTTATTTTTTCTCACCATAATGTTTGGTGTACTTTTTATTAGGCTTTTCGAAAAAAAAATTTTTTTTTCGAGGAAACACTTTCTGAGGAACCATTGTCTTATCATACGTAATTTGTCGAAAAAATCTGCGGTGATTTTGAAGAGAGATCAGATGAGAGAATCATTTTTCTTTACAAAAAATGTGACGGTTACGGAAAAATGTAATAATGCAGGTAAATACTCTATAACGAATGTAAGTCGTGCTGAATTGCATTTCATCTAGTAGCTAACGAGTAGCAATGCAGGCGGAGGTAGCGGAATATTTATTGTATCGAGAGGGACACGTTTCCCTTGTGCATTCGTCTTTTTTTTTATTATCAAATAAGAGAAAAAAATAAAATCACAAATCAATCTTCCGTTTTCTTTGATCGTGCACGCTTTAAGATTTCCTTACAATATCTTTTGCTTGCGTTTTATCGCGAACGGTATTAATCGACGCTGTTACCTCTTTTGCGCACATCTGTTCCCTGTAATTTTATAAATTGATACCTCAATTTACTCTTCCCACAGAGTGAAGAGATCTCCCGTCTTATCTCTCATTTAGCGTCGGTCAGGATTAACAAACAACTTCGTTGTTTTTTTTTCATACGTACACATGTGAAGAAAGATTCGATGGCCTCTATAATAAAATAATTAAAATTGTCTGACTTCTTTGAAATCGTTCAGTTTCTTTATATATCTAACTACAATTGTAGATCACAAGAAATGTACATCGCAAACATCATTTATAATTTCTGAAATGTTCTACTCAGAGAAAAATATATACGTGACTTTAGATATTTGTTATTGTAAACTACGGAAACATGCCGTACGTATTCGCGTAAGTCCAGCGTAAGTAATTCGCTAAAAGTAATTCCTATAAAGTACGTCGCGTGTTCATATTTTTTAAAAATTTCGGACCATTCCTGTGCCATCATTCACGCTGTTCTGCGCCGAATTCTAAACGTACGCGATGTCATAAAGTAGGTACCCGTGAGAAGCGGGACTGCTTATTGCGTTAAAAAAAAAAAATAAAATAAAAGAAATGCTCGGACGGTTTTTGCATTATTATAATTCGTCTGCGCGCGACGCATTGCACGTCACGAGCGCCCCGTGCCCGCGAGTTATGAAATATCGCGAAACGTCAAGGTAGCGGGGTGAGGATGAGAAGGGGTGCGCGAAATAGTAGGTCAGCGGCGACTGTGACTACCATTACATGCAGGAGTCCATGTGCGCGGCGGTAAAAGGGAGAGAAAATCCACCTCGAAATTTTGGCCGAGCGGGTATGGACTTTACGGTTGACGTGTCGCGAAGAGAGATGTTCCTATTTTTTTTTTTTCCGGCCTTATGAATTATTATCTCGTCGCGGCGCAGTGAACAAGGTGCGCTTTCGCAGCCGTGTGGTCTTTTCCGCGCGCCTCCACCTCCATCGATGAACCGGAAATTGGAGGAATCTGGAGATATTGGGATGGAAATTAAAACTCACGCGCGGACACGATGGCAAGCACCTTCGGCTCCAGAGTTTTAATCGGATCGTATCTTTCTTCTTCCTTTTTCTCTTTTTCTCTCTCTCTCTCTCTCTCTCTCTCTCTCTCTCTCTCTCTTCGAACTTGCAGTTTCAATAAATAACATTTCCCCGAACATTATCGTTTGCATTGATGAAGACGATAATATCTTTTGCGTAAAAAGTAACATATAGCTTTAATCATTTAAACAACTTTGTTTCGAAGCAATGCATTAATAAACGTCCAAAACTGTTATGCGAACAGTAACATATAGCTTTAATTATTTAACAGGGTCGTCACAAATTCCTTGTTATAAAATTCCACAACTTATCCCTGACTTTCAGATAAAATTTCACGATTTTCTTTGATTTTTAATAATATTTTGAAATATTTGTATTTTCGTCTTGATTTAGAAATCATTAAATACATATTTTGTTAAAAGATTAATTTAGTATAGCTACGTAAATTATTATTAATGATATTGACAATGTTTTAATTGTGAATTGTTAAAAAAATTTTGTAATATTCCTTGATTTGTTCCTGATTGTTTTTAATTTCCTTAACAATTCCTTGAGAACTACTTTAAACAAAATTGTTTGTAGAACTCAAAAAAGTACTTTTTTAATTTTTTGGAAAAAGTTTTCTTTATCGAATTAAATGCACAGAGATGCTTCGAGAGATCAAGAATTAGATTCAAAATATATTTCCAGATGTGTGTAAATGTGTGTGTATTAATAATATTAATAGGTTTGATTAAATAGCATAAATAATTCGCATTTCACTAATTCTGAATGGCTTCTTGTAAAATTCGTAACAAATCTAAAAAGTAAGAAGAAATGGAACAAAATATAAGTCAATTTTTATCTCGAAAATTATTTAGTGAAGCAAATTTCCATGAAATCCTCTTAATTTCAGGCATCCTATATATCTTGCTACGGTCATTTTCGCTCAACCGACAGGATGAGATGCTGTGTTTACTC